CGGTGGTGGCGCGTCGGCTGCCGATAAATACGGACTTGGCGCGTACAGCGAAGAGCACCCTACCGGTTTTGCGGTATCTCGAACGGCTTAATGGCACTGTTAACTACCGTATTATTTAACGGGGATTTATACATTGCAGTCGGCCGATTAAAACGGCGGGGGCGGGCGGACCGGCATCGAGGCCTGGTCTACTGGCGAAACGATATAGGAAGATCCTGAAACGGACACCGCGGGGGATCGAGTGTATCCTTAATTCCCCGTGAAAGCCAGTGCTGATCGAAGCGGACGTTTCTAGTGTCCGTCGTTGCTCATAGAAAAACAGAAAGTATTAAATTATACTGTATTATAGATCGTACATAGACAGTCATTTCAAATAACAGCTTCGATATATCACAGTTTTCTATTGTATCAGGGAAACAATTCTAAAAATGATATTTCGAAATGTTCGAAGAAATAGTTTTAGTTTTAGTAAATCGTCCACGCTATTAATCGTATGCCTCTTTTATCAAGAAATATTCACCGGCTATATAGTTTGCGAAGTGACTATCAACAATTATCGAAACAAAGTATCAAAGGGGGAATAAAATTGCGTAACCAGCACCGTTATCGTAATTTATATCTATCGTTTCACTTTCCCAGCGCAGAAAACCAAATCTTTATCTCCGTCAGCCACAAATCACCGACAGCGTCGTAACCAAAGACTCTAAATCTCCGGCGCCATTGGAATCGCAATTTCTTCAGCTACCTCTACATCAGCCATTAGAATTCCCGCAACACATCAAATAGCAAATGGAAGGCTGTCAGCCGAAAGCAAGGTAAATTTTCAGCCAAGTACGACGGAACATCGCGAGGAACGTTCGCGAGCGGAAACAATTCCGAGGTCGCGAGGTAACACCTCGGCTGGGTGTGCGAGGAAGTCTCGAAGGTGAGACGAAGACGTAGAAACAGACTCGGTGCGTCATCCACGTCACGATCGCTGCCAATGGGATCTCGGATCCAGCAGGGCGATGCTATTGAGTATTTGCATCTCTTGCCTTTCGCGGCGAATGCGAGAGGAAGCTCGCGTTCGTGAGCCGGTGCGACGAGAACGATGGGAAATCCGGTTGCTGGCATATAGGTATGCTCACAGATGGCCGGGTGCGACGAAGACCGTGACAGTATATAGGTGAAAACGACGGTGCTGGCTACCAGAATGGGACAGAGAGCGAGTATACAGAGAATAGGAAGAGGAAGAGAGAGTAAGAGGCAAACGAGGGAAACGGAGCATGGTCGATGTGTCTAGCCTAGCCTGGTTGGCTGGCTGGCTGGCTGGTTGGTTGGCTGGTTCGGGTGGCTGGATGAACCAGGGACCGTCTAGGTTGCGTCTGCCCCCGCACAAACTCGGTATTATCTATACGTCTAGACACCCCTGCGCCACCGAGAGAAGACCATAGCGGTTTGGCGCTCCGCTTGTAATTTACAGCGCGCCCCGCCGTGTCTCTACATCTACGATCCCGCAAATTTCTCTCTTCGGTCGTGTCTCTTTACCTGTCTCTCTTTCTTCTCTTTTCTTTACATTTTCTCTCGCTTGACCTTTGCACTCTCCTAGCGTGCACCTGGATACATCGATCCCATCGGATCGTACCGATAATCGTTCTCCGAACAGATGGTAAAGCACTCGATCATATCGGGATCGTATCGGGCTGTTCGAGAAATCCCTAGTATTTTTAGTATAAATTTCTATCAAATAATGAAACGTTCGAATAAATACTACCTTGAGGAGGACTAACACGAGACATCCAACATTCGTCCATAAAATAGACTTCTTTGTACTCGTTAATATTTATTGTAATCTTTTATTACGAACTTATTCGAAAGAGAAATTAGATAAATAGTCTAGAAGCCCGTAAGATCTGTTCGAAGGAGTTCGTTATTAAAAGGAGCGAAACATCGTTCGAGAAAAAACTTGCGAAGTTAAGAACGATAGTCTGATGATTCTAGTTGAATCTTCCCTAATTCTCGTTACCGATTCTCCGCACAATCTCGTGTACATATATGTACTTGTACTGTTTATATGTATAAGCATCAACGACAGTCGAAAATTGATAGCCATGTAAATTACAAGTTCTAAATCGTGCAATCTAAAAGAAAAAGACATCTGGAAAAATGTTCGATTGATAGGAGAAATGCAAGAACGATAAGAGTAACGTGTTATAAGGACTTCGAGCGATGGACACGCGAATTGCTCCTGAAATTCCTCTCTCGGACTGCCGATGGAGCTCGCGTGCGCGATGCCGCCACTTCAGACATCATCGGCGTACGAGTGATCGAGGGGATCACGGCCACGTGAAAAGGGAAGCAGCCGTCAATTGGTATACACGGTGTACACACGAGACGTGCGTGAAGAGAGTGCGAATATTGGTATCGCGATAACGAACGGGAAACCCTCGCGTGTCCGAAAGTACGAGCCACCCCAGCCAGTGCACGTTATCCACGGAACACGCGTGCATTATATCGACGATCTCTCGGTGATTAATGCCAGCTGTTAGTACCAGGAGGCTCCAGTCAATTGAATCTCATCGTTCGGCCGCATATAAGCCTCGCTCGGTTGCCTTTATCCGTCTCTCTCTCTCTCTCTCTTTCTCTCACACAGACACACTCTCTCTCTCTCTCTTACTCACTCACACCCTCTCTGTAATGCACGAACCAACTATCCCGGTTTTCGAAGAAGAGTTGCAACGTCGACGCGTAAATAATAAATCCTATGGAATCGCCTTACCGTGTCGGGAAGAGGAAAAGAGGAGAGGAGGAGAGGCGTTGTTCGTTTCTCGAGGCTGCAGGTAACGGAAAGAATAAAGTTTTCCTGGTAGACCCGTGGATAGTAAAGTCCCTGGCAAGTCCGTGGCACGTTAAACTTTCCAGTTTCGAGAACGCAATTTTCCCAAGGGAATCAGTCCTCGCTAATGCAAGAGTGGTTATAGACGGAGAAAGAGAGGAAGGGATAGAGAGAAAACAGGTATAAAGGGGGACGATATTATGGGAGAGGGAAACTGTGCGCGGGCGGGAATGGCGACGAGGAGTTTGAGGGTTGAACGAGCTGACGCTTTAAGCGATGTAAGTTACAGAAACTACGCTTCCGACCAGTCTCGGGCGCAGATTAGTCGTAATCTTGGCGCATTGCACTCTGCAGCCGTTTCCAACCCCCTTCCTACACCCTAACCCTCCCCCCT